TGTCCCTTGAATTGCATCCTTGTTTAGTTTCTTTCTTCAGTTTCCATAGAAAAGTTCTAGAAGATGTCAGCAGTGATGTTGTAGTGATGTTTGCCCTGGTGCATCTCAGAAGCAAGCACACAAACTCAAACTTTCAAAGCAAGTGGTAGAGAGACTTAAAGATGCAGTGGGGTGCAGTTGAAAAACTTCTAGGTCACTTGTACAGGAACTTGTGTGATGGCCTTAACCTTTGAGATATGCCAACAAGAGAAATATCCTGAACTGATGGTGCCTAATTAATGAATGTGTGTGTGTTCCACCTCCTTGGGACTTAAAGTGTGCCTTCCAAGAAGACCCGAGTTGTGAGACTGCTGGCCATCATGCAGTCCCACAATTAATGCGAGAAGTTCATTTAATGGGGGTTACTGATTACTAAACTGAGTCTAACACACAATTGTACTGTTTGCTCTGTTTTCCAGCCAATCCAGGATTTAGCAAGCAGCCCACCAGAGAGCTCATTCCAGAAACTGGCACCCAGTGAACATAGGTACACCTTATTGAGGGAAAAAGATGAACTTTAAAAACTTGAAATAATCTTGCAAGCCTTTCAGACAGCAGCATTGACTTCTGTGTGGTGGAAATAGTAAACCTATATTTTCATAATTCTATGTGTATTTTTATTTTGAATAAACTGAAAAATTTTTTTCTCCCCAGGCTTGTAAATACATTTGTTTGGTGGGTCACTCTGTACAGCATCTTTCAACCAGTATGCTCTTAATGCTATAGTAAATAGCGGAGACCCAGCCAGACTCTTGATCTAACTCTGTTCTGTAAAACTTTTATAATCCAAATGAAGGTATCCTTGCCAGAGACATGCTGTTAACTTGCACTATCCCATTAAATAGGACTTTTGGGTTGTTTTCTGTGTAACCTTGGTAGTATGTGCTTCTTTCTTTTTCTTCTTCATGGTAACAGCTATCCTGGTAATCTATTTCTTTGTCACATTTTCCTCCAACTTAGAGGGTCTTCTATTCTGGATACTTGGGAGGGGAATAAATTAAAGTTTTACAGAATCTCGTGTGGTGCTTTACTGGGTGTAAATGTCTAAGTAGTTTAACGATTCTGACTGTTAAAATACCAGGCAAGGAAAGGAGAAGCTTTAATGATAATGGCTGTGCTTGGAATGAAAGGGCTGTGTTGGCCCAAGTCCCTGGAATTACCAAGGTTGTTATATTATCTACACAGTTGTGTTAGAAGCATATGAATGTTGGAAACCCTTTAGAGTAGGCATGGACTGGAATGCCATCTTAGCTTTGTCAGTCTTCAGTTAATCCCTGTATGTGTGTTAAGATTTGGTTGGTTTGGGGTTTTGTAATTTGGGTCCCTGCCCTCCTGGCAGACTTCCCAACCAACCATTGCATGTTTTCCTGTTGTTCTTTTTGTCTGGCTTGTGCCTTATTTATTGCAAATTATTTGAGTTCTGCTCAAGAAGGAATTACTACTGTGGGCTCTTCTGGTGTGCATAATACCTGAATATGGGCTTCTCTCAATGAATCTTCAGGCTGTTTGGTGAGATGAACATACAGAAACTGTAACATGGAAAAAATATCTAATTTGATGTGCAATTTGGAGATGAAATTAGTTTTGTACAGTACACTTACTGCAGAGAGTGTAGGTCCATGGGCTGTGCCCCCAAAATTTATTGTCCTTAGAAGCAAGCTTGTCCTTTTGGACAGGTGGACCACTGCGTTCATTTTTACTTCAGCAAGTTAACAGTTGAGGATTCCTTCTTCCTTTCAGCTAGATGCCACCTATTCAATTACTGACTTAAGACTGACCTGGTCTGGTGCAGCTGGAGCAAAAGTGGATCCCAAGAGATCCTGCTGCAGCAACAGAACATGAGCTTTCTAGGGAGTGATTGAGGAGAGAGTTGCTAGGACCAGCCACCACTGAGCTACAGCTAACTGAGCAGCGCAGAATTGGTAGCTAAAACAGTGTTCCAAGATTTGGTTTCCAGGTGTACTTTTTTGTTAGTTTTGTGAATCTGCATTTTAGAGTGCACATTTGGTGCTTGAAAGCCGGCTCTTCTCCTGGTCCGTTCTCCATCTTGTGCCAAATCAAATGGTTTTGGCAGCAGAGTCATATACCACCTTCCACTTGACGTATAAAGATGTGAGCAGGGTATGGTTTTAAGGCTGCCACTTACTATCTGCAGGGGGTGCTACAGAACAACTGGAGTATGTTCAGGTACCTGAGATTTTAGTTAATTCCTGCATGATACCTACAAGTACTCATTTTGCTCCTCTGAGTTCCTGTTTTATATTGGGATTCTTATTTATAAATGCTGTTTGGTGGAAGAAGTCTAAACTTCTCTTTCTGGAGAGAGGTATGAGCTCATCATATACCCAACAGTCCAGCGCTGGTGCTTTTCAGCTAGACAGTGAAAGAGATGAATGACTTCCCCTGCCATTTCTTTAATCCAGGTTTGCCTTTCTGGGTAAAGACTTGTTCCCAGAGCTGTGGCATCCCAGCACTAGACAATAAGATGTAATAGTTTTATGACAGTTACACACTCAAGTGCTTCCACTGTGTATTTCTTGGGAGTTGGACTCGATTCTCCTGGGTTCTTGATGACCACTGACCTGGTTGTACAACTGGCAAGTGATTTGCTATTTGCAGGCAGAAGGTTAACAGCTAAAGTCTAGGGGCTGCTTGCCTACCTAACATGATGTTGAAACAGGGCTTGAGCTTTTGAGTACCTGATGATACCAAGAGTTTGCCAAAAAAAAACAAGTGTTTTAAATTGAGCCCTTCAGCTCTGATCAGCTGCATCAAAGGTTGTAACCATTTGGTGCTGAGCTAGCCATTCCCTTCAACACTTGTTATGGCTTTCATGGGAAATTGTCAAAAATGTCTTACCCCTGGGTGGGTGGAACAAACCCATTTTTAGTTGAATTTAAGGAGTCCAATTCTGAGCTAGCACATGTGCACGAGTTACCAGATGCATGCGACATTTTAAGAATTTGTGTTCATTTCAGTCAATGTATTTCAATAGCTGAAGCATGTTTGGTAACTCAGTCTAGGATTCTTAGATCTTAGTAATGGAGGTATTTTAATAACATTTGTAAAGGATTAATCTTTTAGGTGCTTACAAGAAATAAACCCCGATGTTCTCAGTAAATGCTACAACCAGTCTCATAGGCAGAAAGTTTTATTTGGGCTGAAAGAATCATGTATATCTTACATTTCTTCTAATGTACCTAGCACTTCAGCTGCTAGTTTGGTTACTCAGATACCCATGTTTCTTCACATATGTAAATAACCCACCAGGTTTTTAAAAATCGGAGCTTATTTAAGTGTCTCGAGTCTCAAGTGTATACACAATGTTTTGAAGTTGCTTCCTTACAGATGCAAGGAGGAAGAATAGTTTTTATGCTGGATGTTTCATACAATGAATGCATACCAAGCTCAGTTTGTATAAGCTGCATCAGGAATTCAGGTTTATGAATTCAGATTGTCTTGGCATTAGTCCAGTTGGGGGGAGAAGGTGGAGTCCATGATGTCTCTGCTGTGGCTGCTGTCATTTCACTGCACAAGGCTTTGAAGAGTACAGTAGGAAAGCAGACAAAGCTTTTGAAAATCATACAAAGAATCAACCACAGTTTCTGATGAAGTATACTTCTTAGTTTCTTCCTTTAGATACAAAAATGCCGTACCAAAGGAATGAACAGCCTTAGTATGAAATTGTTACAAGCTTATTAAATGTGTTTGCATACAAAGTCAATGCATTTAAAGAAAAAAGTGCTTTTTGCCTGACAGGAGCAAATGAGCTGACTGACTTAGGTCATGTTTTCCACTCCAGCTGATTTTACAGATGTAGGCACTGTGGCTTTAACACATGCACTTCTGACAGTGTTTGTGATTACTTGTGAAAACTAGTGTTGCACATGTTGCTTCCCTGAGCCTCAGACCCACTTAAGAGAGACACAGTGCTCTGACTGACAGCAATTTCATTCACATTTTAAAAGTAACATGGAAGAAGCATTCAGAAAAAAGATGTTTGTGCTGTAACTAACAGTTGCTTATGTCTCCAGGCTCAAAACCCCTTCATCTGTCATGAGGAGGCATTTATTCCCAATGATGATATCAAAGTACTGGTTGCAAAAGGGAACTATAGCTGTAGCACGCTTACTTTGACAGTGTTCCCTGTCAGGGAAGACTTATCACTGAGCACTGACTTCAGTGTTCACCTAATAAAATTAGGGATGAACTGAACAAGCTAAAATCGTTAAAAAGCAGCTTCCCAACCTCAGTTCCTGTTCCCCAAACAGTAGCAGCAGTAGTGTGGGAACTGTGCTGAAGGACAGAGGTAGGACCATGTGCTGAACAGTAGATTATGTGTCAATAAAACCATGTTAACACTTCCATATTTAACATTGTAAGGTTCGGAAGCAAAAGGCTTCTTAAGCAGTAAAAGGAGGGTAAGCACAACAGGCACCCGCCATAAAAACCTAGCAAAAGCGCTATCACCATCTCACCCCACACAGGCTCCACAGCATGTTCCTAAAGGACAAGAAGCTACTCTGCAGTGCGGGTAGAAGCACAAGTTTTGGAACTGAAGGGGATACAAGAGGTGTGATTCAGACCCACACAAGGATGGTTTACTTACTCTGGTTTACACAGCCATCCCCTGAGGCTGGCAGCTGACGCTGGCACCACTTAAAAGGCCTCGATGCTGCAGCACCAGGCTGTGACCTGGTGGCTAATGCTGCCCTTGAGGGATAATGAAAACTACTAAGGGAGCAGGCCTGGCTCCAGCAGGCAGGAAAGCTATTTAGTTCTCTCACCACAGCACTGTCACTGATGGGAGATGAGAAGCAAGGGCAACATCTAGCAGTAAGTGCTGTGTAAGGTGCAGCTTCAGGCTCAGAAAGCCAGAGCTCAGCCCTTCATCCTGTCTGGTATTCTCAGGACAAGCCAAGGAGTTGAACAGCCATGGAAAATTATTATTCCCCAGCACAGTTGCTCCTTGGACTGATTAATTCTTAACTACACTTTAAACAAGATGAGTTTATAAATTAAAAGGTACCTGAAAAAGGAGAAAAGCTGCTTGTAATGCTGATGCGATTTGGCTGATGGAGGCAGATGTGGGATATACATAAGGTTTTTTCCACATTGCTCACCCACCATTTTCCCCTCTTCTTATGGCAGCTACTGCATCCCTGTGCCTACTGGAAGGCATAGGCAGTCATATCCTGTGGGTATACACAGGAGGAGTTTGGGAATCCAGATAAATGAAAGTAAATTTAAAGTACTCTGACCATGAAGGATAGATGGAGCTTATTTCCTTTTCTTTGGAGCACTGCAGTAAAAGTTCCAGCTCTTGGGTGGCTTTCACAGGAGAGCATTAGATTTTTCCAGATATCTCTTGTTGTCTGCAAGACACTTTGTGCAAATTTGGCATGAAGCACCCATTGGCTATCACTACAGCTGTGCATAGAGCTCACCTAAGGATTTCATAATGAAGAGTTAACAATGTACTTTTCAAAGGACTGATGTTGCCACATCTGAAAAGAGAAATTCTGGTGTTACTGTTTCACACCCCCCCCCAAAGTAACAGTACTGTTGTCAAAATTCACGCTGCTCAGCCTTGTATTTAAAGTGTAAGGCTGCAAGTCTGTCATTAGCATGGCTACCACACTTCCGTTCCTAGCAATGAAGCTGGATTTCAGCTGGATTTTTTGGCACTTTGGTGAGAAAGCTCTGGACAGCTGGAAGAGACCTGCTCCAGCATTTTTTGTTTTCTTCTCTGTATCAATTTTCCACCTGTGAAACCCAAAATCCCACCACCAACTGCAGCTGCAATTCCTGCCACTTTGAACCCTGCAAGGAGACCAATCGGACCCCCCACCACTCCACCAATGACTGCACCTGCCACGGGCAGAGCTGCCAGCTTGTATTTTGCAGCCTGTAAAGGGAGAGAAAAAAGAGACAAACACAAAAGAGTTAGAATTCTTGCCTGTGGTGATGTGCTTTTCCCCCTCATTGCTCTTGGCAATGACTTGAATGCAGTGATAAATAAACTTTACAAATTAATATTTCAAAAGAGGTGACCAACTGTCCCACATGGATGACAATGTACTAAACCCGAGTCAAAATTGAGCTGTCTCATGTATGTACACAGATGTGAACAGGACCCTTTTACATGGATCTGGCTGATGATGCACATATTGCAACAGGTTGTCCAGAGAAGTTGTGGCTGCTCCATCCCTGCCAATGTTCAAGGCTAGGTTGGACGAGGCTTTGAGCAACCTGGTCTATTGGAAGGTGTCCCTGCCCATGGCAGGGGGTTGGAACTGGATGAGCTTTAAGGTCCCTTCCAACCCAAAGCATTTTATGATTTATTTCCTGATCTCCATCATTAAATCAAACAAGAAGCTGAGCAAAAGATCAGATTTTTCAGTAACATGCCTGAATCTAGGTTTGTGGCTTATTTGCAACTATCACTGACATCTGCATAGAATGGGAGTGAAATTGCATGTTATCATCAGCCTGTCATTTTATACTTGTTTGATTCTTATGAGCCAATCACTGACTGTGCTCATCTTTGCCGATAAACCAAAGTAGCATCAGAACAGCATAAAAAAAAAAAAAAGAAAATTGTATTTGGTAGCCTGGATGTGATAGAAAATTACAAGAGAGATTGATTTATTTTTTTCCCTGCTACCTGTGGGTCATTTCTTCCTTATTTCCTTAATTGCTGGCTCCCTCAGCATTCAAGACGGCAGATCAATTGGGTTAATACCAAGGATTGCTGGGAGGCAGAGTACCATTGATTCACCAGCAGGAGCAGATCCCTACCTTCCTCAAGTTTTTGGTTCCCTCTTCAACATTCACAGCAGCACTGTTGACATGGTCTTCAATCCTGTCAATCTTCTCCTGCTGAGCCTAGATGCAAAGGAATTATGAGTGAGGAAACCTGCTGAGAAGCAGCAGTGAGCCAATACACACCATTTTAATGCCTGTAATCAGGGCCCCACAGCCGCTTTTCATCTGCTACACACCACAGCCGTGCAGCCTTCATGGTGGTTCATTAATAGCATCTGATGAACTGTGCTGAAACTACAAACTACTTCAAAAATATCTTAACAATTAAGTAATAATAGGGGGTGGGTATTATACAATGTGTTGCTGCAGTTAGAGGGGGAAAAAAAACCCCAAACATATGATTTCCAAATCTTTTCTGTGAATAGATGAGCTCACATTCCAGAAGGAAAAATAAAACCAAGTAGCCTTTTTGCTTCCTGCTGAGTTTCATGTTCCAACTCCAACACACAGAGCTGCACAAAGAAATCTAAATATGTGTTTAATTATGACAGTATAAAATGCTGACTTAACTTTACAAATTGAGTAGTGACAGTACTGAAAATACACTTGATGTTGCTCTGCACTGTACTGACTTAAAAACACATTCCTTTTCTCCAAATGCAGTCAAATTCCCCTGCAGTCTCCCCTCAGAGAACAGTGGAGCAGAAGATAAAGGGGTTTGTGGGTTGGTTTGTTCTTATTTTAATCTCAGCAGTACCCAGGCTGTTCTGTGTCACAAAATAAGGAGATGGCTAATGTTCAGCTTAAAAGAAAAGGCATTCTGAACTCTTTTCCCACTTTCTAATACGGGAACTGGTATCTTCCTCTACAATCCAATCCACACACATCAGATGCTTGCTATTATATCGAATGACAGTAAGATGTAAAATCCAGAAAGTCTTGGGAACAGGAAGTCCCCCTTTTTAGCTATAACTGCTAACATTTAGGCTACTGAGTAACAATTTCTGCAGCCCCTCTCCAGCCTAATGAATCTTAGGGGTGGGAGGTGTTTGTATACATGAAGCAGCACATACTCAGCAGAAAGGCTAAAAACTGGTTTATCTCAACTAACCCAACTGTCAGAAGATTAAAGAACTCCACTGGGAGATAAGAATTGTGGATTTAAATTCCCCATGGCACAGGAAGAACTAAACATTGGGAAGGCAGTATGGATGATGAAGACCTTTTGGCAGCTTTGTGAGAGCACAGAAAGGGCAGGATGAAAGTGAGGGGAACTTCAGAATTTTCTAGTACTGATTAAGTGAGAAGTACCTGAGAAACACCCACCCTGTGCAGTGAAGGCTGTCAGCCCCATTACAATTAGAAATGGTAAAAACAAATGGGACCTGGGTACAAGTCTCCCGATCAGCACTGTAGGGCTTCTGGGAAGGTTTAGCTTGTGTCCAAGGGCACTGGCCACAACATCGATAGGTGCTCCAGTGACGACAGCTTAGGCACAATTACCAGCACTACTGCTGAAATGAAAGAATGTTGCCTCCTCATAAAACTATTTTGACAGAGCCTGAATCAACAGGAGAGCCACAAATAAAACTTTTGCAATGAGTCATTAATATAGGGAAGGAGGAGCTGAGGGCTTAAACTAATGCTTTTGAACATTCCTCTTCTGTTGGCACTTGAAAATCAAAAGAAAACATTTCACCCTAATGCTAGACAATTTGATGTCAACATTGATGTAAATACCTACAACTCTGGAAAATATCTAATGTACCAGCATGGAAACTATAGGTGTATCTACCATAGGTCCCAAGTAGCAAAGATAGCACCTTTGTGCAGGCATCTTGGCACACTGAAGGGAAAACAGCTCTGCCTCTCCTGGCATTTTCCTGAAGTTCTTAACAGTGACTAGGATTTTGTAGTCCTGAATACTGGACTGAATAAATTCAGCTGTTTCAGTTATTCTGCTATTCTGTCACTTTGACCAGGTGATACCAGCTCAGTCTGAGTTCAGACTATGGGCACAAGTATTGCTCATCTTTTCTTTAGTCCCATTAGGATTACTCATTGACAGTCCTTTTGTACAAGACTCCATCTAGGATAGAATGCAAAATTAATACTTACGTTGACTAAGAGAGAGAAGTCAGTCACCAACTGGCTAAGCTCAATCAAGCCCTACAATTAAAAACACCCAACTGTTATTTTGCAATAAGACCAAGAGCATCAACGTGGCAGTATGGGAGTTCCAACATACCTCTTCTAAAGTTTCCCAGGACTCAGCTGCATTTTCTCGCTGAGGTATTTCAGGAAGGGGGGAGTAGATCTGGATTAAACTCTGGGAGCCGTCCTTCATGTCTGTGCTATGTAAAGTTTCTGAATGAGAAACATGAAGCTTATAAATAAGTGCACTGAATCAGAATGCAGGTGATGTGCGAAGTTTCTCACTCTTAGTGTTTCTCAAGAATAAATTGATACTTAACTAATTCAAGCCAAGTGACATCCCTGAAAATGGTCATATAGGGAAAAGTCTTACAGCAATAGACACTTTCTGAGAAGGAAGTTATTGCTGAAGAAATGGATTAATTCCTATCAGCCCACTTTCACAATTAGTTCTGAGAATAACATTAAAATTATAGTCCTGAATTTAAGGTCAGTTACTTTTGTTTCACTCAAGATAGGAAAACTGAGCCTGGAACAAAAAGCTTTTCATTTACATACAACACACAAGAACTTCAAAACTGAACAGACAGTTACTCATTTTGTGATTAGGATCCTACCAGTTTGATTTTCAGCCATTTGGGACTAAAAGAAGCTGGAGGAAAAATCTTTCAAAGCAGTGAAAACCAAGTAACACACTGCCCAGCATTCGGTGCTGGATCCAGCTAGGTAACAGTGCTGTGAGGATGACAAACACTTGCAGCTCAGCAGTACAAAGGAGGTATTCTCAAATATCTTCCTTTCTAAATCACCTGGACTGGATGCAGAGGACATTAGGAGGAAGTATGGTGTTAAAAAACGGGGAAAGAGAGAGAGCTAGGTGTCGTGGGGGAGAGCAGATACAATAAATAGTCACACACATACCTTCTCCAGTTAAAGATCCTGATCTCGACCCACTATGGATATAATGGACATGTGAGTGATTACAGGCAAGATATTAAGTGGTAATAAAGAATAACAACAAACAAGTTTGGCTTGTCATAGCAAGGATTTGGGAATAGCTTGAGAGTGTGAAAGGCAGACTGGAGAATGTATGTGTGTAAACAAAGAACGTGTTAATTTAAACAACTTCAGTTTCTGAAGGAAAATGGCTGCTTTAGTAGGTCACCAATGTTTCCTTCCCTGGGAGAGCAGTATTAAGAGAAAGCTTAACCTGGGGAAGGCTGGTTAGACATGTCTAACAATACTAAAGTGTAAATATTGTATTAAAATCCTTAGAAACAGTGAATGTGCCAAGGTACTGTAATAATATTCTATAACTGTTACTACAACAGATACGTACAATGGAAACCAAATAAAAATAATCATATTTATTTAAAAAACAGTAATAATGCATGCTTATTCATGGAATTAATTTAAGATAAAATAAAAATGACACATTTTCATAACCATTTGTCCATTTCTGAACATTTTTATCCCAGTACCTCAAAATACATTAAGAATCTAATCTTCCTACTCTCAGATCAATACAAGTCTAACATCAATGAAGCTGATGTTCAGCTGTAGCTACTAAGTCAGCAGAGCAGCAGAGTAACAGCAATGGAGTAAGTGATTTGGGGTTTTATTTTGGGATTTTCTTTCTAATTATTTCTACCCCTTTTCCTTTAAGAATCCAGACATGGAAGGCCCTTCACCTCCTACAATCATCACCTGTTCTTCCACAACATATTTCTGATTTATACCGTCAGATTAATTAATGTTATAGACTCAGTCCTCAAATGTTGCTTTTCCCTTTTCAGCAGAATAATTCATAGATCCAAATGTGTCCATTTTTGGAGAAACCAATTCTGCTAAATGTTCTGACGCTTAACATGGGGTTTGAGTATTTTATTCCATTTAAATCCTTACAATCCTATTTCAAAATCAAGTTTCTTCTGCCAAGAAGAACACACTCTTCCCTAATCACTCACATGCATGCTAAGTTGCTTGAAATTAAAATATTCAAAATACAAAAGCAGGAAAAAAGCTCACTAAGCAAAATGGCCTCTTCACAAATTGTCTTCCCTACTCCGGTCTGTCCTTAACAATCTTTGTTGACCTACTGTAGAAAAGCACATCCTCCGAAGTACATAACTGATGCTGAAGTTCTGAATGACACACATTCAAGAGAACTGAAAACTCTTAAGTAGGTTTACACTGTTACCATTTCCTAATAACTAAAAATTAGTGGGGAAAAAAAGTCTCAAGAAAATTCTTTACTCGCTTCAAGATACTAAGGTAAAGAACAGGAAGGGTAAGAGAAGGTGAAGTCACACTTGGGCTGAAAGCATGAGTAAGAAATTTATATTCACAAGTTCACGTCTTATCAGGTCTAACCAATTTTAATAGAACTAGAGAATGGAAGTGGCTCCAACACTTCATTTACAGCATCTCCCCAGAAATGCAGTAATACAAAACAGATTTCATAGAGCAGCTTCGCACCTCATTACACTCAAGATAAAAATCTAAAGCTCTGGAAGATTCAATATGTTGCTTAAAAGATTTTTAAGAGTCAAGTCTCACCTTTTGTTAATATTTGTTTAAAATGCAATTAAATTCCTATTCTATTGGACCTCAGCCACGGGTGGTGAGGCGGGGAAGGGACTACATAATATCACTGACATGCCTTCTAAATGGGCGATTTGAATTTGTAAACTCCTTCCTTCTCTACCAGGTGGGAAGCAACATGCTACAAAGAATGGGCATGCTGAAGCTCCTTTGATTAAGATCAGCAGCCAAGATTTGCTTTCAGGACTGCAGCCTCAAAGCACAAAAGAACAGGCAATATATAGCATCTGTGTTAGCAATTCAACAGGGCTGCTTTCATGGGCTGGCAAACTTGAAGAAAAAATACCTGTTTCATTGCATTTACTTGTCTGGCTGTCTGTGTATTCCACTTTAAATGGGGTGAATAATTTCCATATTCTTGAGCAGACTTACAGGAGTGTGTCATTCCAGTAATATTTTTCTGTTCTTCTCATCCCAATCTTTCTGATCAATTTCTTGTCTTTCAGAAGTACTGTCAAGTTCAATGTCCTCCATATGTTAATGGTGTTTCAGATTAAAAAAGCAGGCCTGTTCTTTGAATTTAAACTCTAGTTCCCATTTACCACCTATGTAGCTATGAGAAAAGCAGTAAGCTGGGACAAGGCCTTTCCAATGAGATACTGGAATGCACTGAGAACAACTGCAGAATGTTACCAAAAAAGAAGAGATATTTTAAATTTAGTTCTCATCATAAGAGAGAAGAGCTCACAAAGAGCCTGAAAGCAGTGACTAGTATTGATGAAGGGGGTCACTGAATACCTGGTATTCAGTCCATAAACATCTAAAACCTTGAGTATAAAACTGAGAACAATGAGCTCCTCTCAGATGAGCTATCTACAGATTTGTCAAATTAGATGGTCTTCAAAAGTCCCTTCCAATCCAAACCATTCTATGGTTCTTTATTTGATGTATCTTGACTTCTTAAGTCTTTCTGATGCTACTGCACATGACATTCTTGAAAGCAAGCCCAGTTTTCAAATCTACTTTTCTCCCTGTTTGACTGTTAGACTCACTAGCTTGCTAATCACACTTTGAAAGAGTTCTTGTAGTTCCTTATGTAGCAACAGGAAGGGTCATGAAATCAAATTTGATGGCAGGTTCTTCTACAATGTCATGGACTGAAAATACTATTTTGATGTTAAGACACATGAAATCTTCAAACAAATTTAAACAACGCTGCTACTGCAGCAATCAAACTAACTACTGTTATGTGGAAGGATTTAATCCTGCTGTATCAACTTTCTCATAGCAGAGAACACTGGCCAGTACCACAGCATAGTAAGGGCTTCCCCTGAAGACAGAATGGTAGAACAAGGAATGAAGGACAATTGTACAGAAAGGACGGAAGAACAGCAAACACGCTGACCTGTAGCATGTTATAGCATGTTTCCAAGACCTTTTATTTAAATGGATTTATACTGTTTTCTGCTTTTCTGTCAGCTGCCAAATTAAAATGCTACAGGAAGAGACCTTCTCCTTTATAGAGAGACTTGCTCCTCTTTTCCACATATTTCAGCAGTGGCTTATTATACTGTCTGTCATATAAAAATTGTTTTCTTCTTGATGTTGCAAGCACTAATTCAGTGAAAATGGCCTAAATGATTATTCACACATGATTAAGTGTGATCAGCTAATCTGCTACCTATGAACAGTCTTCTATTTCAAGATCCAAGGCTACAGGATCTTTGTCATCGAAGGCAATTCTCCACTTATCAAAACTCAGTCACAGGTCTTGAGAAAAGTGAGGTGTAGGAAAAGCAATCTGTTTCTTGATTAACTATTATTCAACTGAAATCTCATTTGTTTACTTCATTTATATCTCGTCAAATAAAAGGCAGACTGGATTCAACAATATACATATAATAGATAAAGAAATCAAATTCTCCTACCTCCTCCTACAGTTGCAGATCTGGTTAAAGAAGCATCCTCCTGTCCTTCGAGTTGCCTTTTAAGTTCTTCTGCAGATTGAGAATGGAGCTGCAGGAAGTCTTTTATGGCAAGTGAAGCTTCCTCTTTAACGGGATTTATCATTCTCTGCAACACCAGGATGTCTTCCTTCCGGACTCGCAAGCAGAGTTTCTCCATTTCTCTCATATTGGAGCGGAGTTGCTGTAACCATTTTAAAGACTTATTTTGTAGCTTACTATGTAAGAGCACCAGACACTTTCAGTGGTTAGGAAGCAACTACCAACTCGGTATGTTTAAATGTTCATTTAAAGTGCTAAGTTTTAATAAACTAAGACACAAAAAAAACCAACCCTCAAGTCCCAGGTTTTAAACAACCTCTCCTCTACATCCCTTTTCCAGACTGCGTTGTTTGACTGCAGCTCATTTGCCTGTCAAAGAGGTCCCCAAATGCTGTAAAAGCCCATGCCTCTGATAACAGTGAATTCTCTTCTTGAATCCATCCTGGGTCTTCCAGGCTCTGTTATCTTGTGTCCCCATGCTATTCCCTGGTCTTTTTTTGATGCTCTTGCAAAACAGTCACTCTACAAAAGATACAGTGCTCTGCAGAGAGGGAGTTTGTCCTCACTTAAGATAGCCCAACCTAAAGATGATCCCTTCCAAGAAAATGATCTTCCTCTTTCTCATTCCTCCTAAGGCAGATGACAGTCCTGTAGCCAACAGTGATACTGGGCGAGACAGTGATTTAGTCACCTCAACCAGAGCTCAACACTGTCCGCAAGGGAAGGCATCTGCACTTTCAAGCACTTCTCACTTGGATGTGCCATTACCTCATAACCGGTCACTAAGACTGTTGTATTTTTAGTATTTGCTGGTGCTTGTGAGTTCTCTCAGTTCGCTATCTATAACAAAACATAAATGGGGAAGGCAGCTCTCAACACAGCAGCCCCTAAACAGTGCAGTGAGGCATCACTGGGACATGCTGTTGAGTCTTTTTGGACTACTTCCCGTAAGAGAAACTAAGCTATCTGTCCCAGAAGCATAAGAACCAAAGATCAAGGAACAGATGTTACCTATTATTCTCTCTGGCAAACTAATTTATCCATAGATAAAGACAACTAAGACAACTTCAGGGACAGGGGATAAAAATTACCTTTCCCCCAATATTTATATTCTTTTTCCATAAGAAAATCAAATATATTTGACTGGAATGTCAAATATAATAAACCAGAAAGATTTCTTTAGTTACAAGAGTTTGGAGAAGATACAAACTATTTACAACTAGCAAGAAGAGTCTGTGTGCAGGCATCTCCTGTGAGATAAATTTCTGTCTGCAGCAAAAATAGTCTCTTTCTTATTGCCTAGGCTTTTAAAAATCTAAAAATGAACACAACTTCTCTTTTTCTACAAACAAAGAAATTTATAGTTTAAATTATACCACTTAGCATTTTAGGACAGAGATTTCATCTTATTATAAAAAAAAAGACAGTAATAAAAATAATATTAATTGCATTACATTATAAGGTGATATTATAAATTATATTACTTCTTGCACTGTTTACCAGTTGGTTTGGGTATTCTTCTCACAACAGAACAAGAGAATGGATTGACATCAGTGAGTCATTGGAAACAGAAAGGTTTTCTTCAATAATACAAACCAGGTACAGGTAATGCCTTAGAATGGCAACATTGCTTACCTGGAAAAGCAAGAACTGTATACACTAGAAGTATTTTTTTATGTATGAAAAAGACAGTAGAAATATAAGCAGAGAAAAGGGAAATTAATTCCACAACAAATTGAGATAACACTGCATGATACATATTTGGCAATCAAAGAAAGAACTACTGATTTGTAAAATTCATTTGTCAAATTACTAAGTATATTCTGTTGTACGCTATGTACTACTCGTCATTCTAGGCTGCACTATTTAAGTCACTGATTAACAATAAAGAGGGAGATACAAAAAATTAGATATTGAGCTGGACTAGAAACATGGTATCCAATACTTTTCCTCATACATTTCTCATATTAATGTACTCTGCTCTTCTTGTATCTTCCTCCCATGGTCTGCCCAAAAGTACTGATAAAAGGAGAATGTCATCTCTGTCGTAGCCCACCACATGCCAAAATTCTCAGTTTATAAAATCTTGGAGTTTCATTTAAAGACAAAACGGGACTATCTAGACACAACATTTCATTATCTACTTTGTGAGAATTATATGCAGGAGACTCAATGAAGCTGATCCTGCTGTTTTGTTTCAGGGAACAGAATTATTATTATTATCCTGTCTTTAGCCGTAATGGGAACAAAAAAAGACAAACCAAACAAAACCATGTTGTGAAACAGTAACAATAGTGAGTTTGGGATGAGCTAATAATGCTTCAAAGCAGCTTCTTCAAATAAAAAAGGAAAATCTCCTAGCTGAAATTGAGTTAAAACACAGCTCTGCTAGAGAGCTGCACCACTGCAGCTGCAGCAATTATCAGTGTACCCAACGCATGAGTATAACAAAGACTGTTACTGTGCAGTGACCAACACAGGCACCAACTTGCTGCTGGGGATTGCAAAAACCCTGAGCAGAAGCTTCAAGAGATACGAACTACTCACCCTAGGAATGGCTCGATCTGATCCTCACTTTCACTGTTCATTGTTAGCTTGCTGATCAGAGAGAATTATTTGTGAGGAAGACAATGGAGAAATCAGATGAGATCTGATAATATACTGGGGGTTGGACTAGATGACCTTTGAAGGTCCTTTCCAACCCAAACTATTCTATGATTCTATATTTGCCTATCTGGCGAAATGTAATTTTACCACCTCTTCTTTTGTGGTCTTGGCAAGAATACTCTTGTTCCATTTACTGTCAATGAAAAAGAAGCTAAACAGATTCAGCCTAGCAAGAAAGCTAAGCCCTGCTGTGAGGAAGACACATCATAGGAGCTCACCAGGGTGTAACATGATAAATGTTATGGATATGCAAATGACTGTGACTTCATCTCACAATCATTTTAATGGGATAGAGTTTAATTTCTGGGTAGAGCATAAAAGTGTATCACCTTCTTCCCAACTGTTTCCACTTCTAAAATCAAGCTTACTTAGAGAGGAAGGTAACACAAAATTCTGTTTTCAGTTAGGGGAATTCCTGAGTTTCAAACTCACCAAATTCAGCCCAAAAGACATAGATTTTTTCTTCATAATATTTGCAGTTTTCATGTGTTAACTTCCAAAACCACATAACAGTCTTTGTTTCAAAAGGCTTTCTCACAAAAACTGTAGGAAAATAAAGCTGACAAAAACCCTGGGAGATCATTCCTTCAAAGCACGATCTGCCATCTCTATCTTATTTCTGACAGTTGTTTATCTAACCTGGTCTTAAAAGGCTAACTGAATCATGGTGATCATGCCATTATCACACTCAATCTCTGCCACTATCATTCTCTTTTTCTTTCTTCTTGGTTTATTACCATTTTCCAATAGTTTTCACTTTGAACTCTTTATGCTGAAATAATACATAGATGACACAGGATCTGTCAAATCCAACAAATCAGTCCCTAACTCCTGTCTTCTGTGTGTTAATCGCTATCAATTCTCCCTCCATTGTTTTACATTAAGATGTAAATCACGCCGTAAACGAAACCCACCACCTTAAATCCTCTCAAACGTAAATATGATTTTTAAGGAAGCATTGAAGTAGCTTAGCTGTGCAAATGTAATGTTGCCTTCATTTACCTTCTCTAGACTTTGTTCAAAGTAATGTAATGAAGGATACATGTAACAAATTTCTTGGCATAGGTCAAACAAACTCCTGAATTTAAAGATACGTTTACCCTACAGATGGCCACAGGCTGCAGTAGTGAGCTCATTTTACATGATGCTTCACTGATACCATAAACGATCTCCTGCAGCAACAAACTCGTCTTCCCTGCTTCTTATGCTCTCCCAGTGTATCTGCATAGGATTCCAGAAAGATACTTAATTTGAAGACTGCATAACTTTAAAGACAGTACAGAAGGCACGAGCCATACAACTAAGCTTTGAAGATTTATGCAAATGAGAGCTGCCTGAAAACCATCTTCTACTTGTAAACCATTTTCACCTGAAATGGAAATTGTAAAAGTGAAAAAGATAAAAAATAGATTACCATTTTTCAAGTAACTTTGCAGGCTGGAGCAACAGAGTGGAGACACTATCTGCCCGGGTATGTTTTGCAGAGCAGCCTACTTCTGCGGCCTGAACATAGACTAAAGCAAAATCATTCATCCATACACTACTCCTTTTTTTTTGTTCAATGCCCCATATCCTCTGGAGTAACTGCAGCATTTTTCTTCCTCTCACTATGAATATGATCAGGGCAGACCTTAGGTGTTACAACAAAATCCTGCCATTTCATTGAAATGTTCTTAAATCTTGCAATAATTAACTAATTTTACGGTACAGTCAGCATCTATGTGGGCAAAGCCTAGAAAAATTGCATATTTATTCAGGCCCTAACATTTTAAGGAAAATATGGACCATCCCTAAAAATGAGAATCTACAAGAGCACATTTGTGAAAACTAATACATGGTATACAGAACAATTTTCTCAGTATTTCTGAAAGGGTCTCATCATGCCCTATGCAAAGATTTCCCTGGCTTCTTCTCCTTCCTTTTTAGCAGTCTTTAATGTGGCTCCAGTCACTATAAAAAAGTGGTATACATTTATGCTCATCTATACTTCTACTGTCATTTTGACCATCATCAAAAGTACAACAGAAGTAATTATTCTGGGTAAACTGAAAATTCAGAAAAAGGGCTAATTATGTGCACATGGATTAAATGTAGAGTGGCTGCGCATATATTTGTCTAAAACCTGTGGCGGATGCCTTGGGTCAATATTGACTTAGGGATTCCTAATGTATTTTTACAACATCTAATTCTGAGAGCAAAGTGTGTGCTGCAGAGAACATTTGGTATCACAATAATTAATCTGATTTCTTAGCAAACAAACAGATCACAAGTCCATTGGTAAACATTTAAACAGCTTACAGCAAACACATTCTACATGTCATATAATTTATTATCAAGTACTCCAGACTCCTAACTATTTAATTAAAACAAAGAGCTAATCTACTCTTCTTCCATGGACCCAGATTCTTATTCTGATCTCTGAGTATCAGAATGTGAACCACTTTAAGGCATAACTTGTATCCAGATCTAAAAGCAATAAGCATTAAGAAAATGTGAGAAAATTTATTTGGGCTGAAAGAGAAAATGGCAGGCTTGAGGTTCAAGACAAACAGAAATAGACAAATACGAGGTTTTTTTACCAAAGCACTTAACATTTTAAAACATCATCTTCAACATGACTACTTTTTCTCTAATTAGTGACAGATATTTTCTTGCTAAACAAATTATTCTGATAACAAAGAGTTCCACGAGAGGCATTTTGCATCACTTGGATGTGAAAACAGATTAGAGCACAGACATAAGCATTTGTAAGCAAACACATGCTTACAACACCACACCTGTTGGAATGCCATTGCTTTAGCAGGACTTCCACCTTTGGAAGACTCTTTCTATATTAAGAATAAAATGATATTCAAACTTCAACGATACTTGGTGAAAAAATAAAACCCCCCAAACATTCAAACTTCCAAATAAGAGAAATATCAAGTGGATTTCTTATTTAACTTCCTAACACCTACACTAAAAAAGCTCATTAGCACCTTCCATTCCTAAAAAAAAGACACCAAACTCCAGTTCTGCCCCCTGTCTAATATCTTTGCTCAATCAGGATTAAGTTCTTTCTGAGGCCTGGGTTGGGGGTTTTTTATTTTCAGTCTGGTCTAATTTCCCACAGGAGTTAATAAGGCATTGCAACAAACACAGGAACTTACAGTATCAGAATTCTGAAATACAGATGCAGTCACTAAAGGTTTGTTCTAGTGACAAAGTCATGTCCCTCCTCCGAACAACATCTATGAAAACAACAAAAAATGCCTCTCCTGCTGTCCGCAGACTTTGCCAGTACCACATGTTATAACCTGTCTTGCTATATCTGCTATATAATCACAGATGTTATATGCATCAGCAAACTTTACAGTGCAGATGTGGTCTCTGCAGGGTTTTCTATTGATAATTTTCTTCAGCTGTGTGCCATTCAGCAGTGTGAAAGTTGATGTCTGACATTAGCTTTTGCACTGTTTTCATCAACACCTGCATTTTTTTCAGAAAAGGATGTAAGATTCCCAGTATGTTCTGTTATGGGTGACTATGCATGAAGTCACTGGGATGATGCCATGTTGACGAATGCATCTGGTATTTCCTCCTTTGATGATACTATGCATCTAAGATATTTGCACACCAAAGCAGTAGCCCAGATGTTATGTGGTTGGTCTAAAACTATGCTTTAAAATTAACATCATTCCTTATTGCAGTTCCTGTCTTCTAATTTAATAATGTAAGAGGACAGTTTCAAAAGACCAGTCTCCAAACTTTTGTTTATTCAAGAATCCTGAAACATTTCTGACTGTATTTGCCTGAAAGGACACAATGAGGAAATCCCTACCTTTTACGTGAACTAAAGCAACACCTTGTACTTGTCAAATCTAGCTGTCAAATATATGTCTCTGTGAAGATCCATCCCTGAGGCAACCAGTACCATCTATGTGATTTAATTCCATTAATCTCACAAGTAATTTTAATACCCTTACCTGAACTGTTCGTCCTGCGTTAATGTGTTCTTCGTGCAATCTGTCCCAGAGCCTGCATCTCTGATACTAAAATAAAGGAAAACACTCTATATAATAGTTATTTTTACCAACCGGCTATGCAGGAAAAAGGTACCTTTAATAAATAATCACTTTAATTTTCCAAGATTGACATTAAAGAAGCTGAATCATAGGCATTTCCACTGCAAAATTAGAGAGGTAAAGGGCAATGTATGTTGTGAATAATTTTGTACAATGTATTTTACTGAATTGCAAATAACCAGGGTTTCAGCATCAGCTTTTAACAACAGAGACATATTGCAGCATCCGGATAGTCCTGTGGGATAAATCACTTGGTGGTCAGTAAAACGAAGGGCAGAAGGTGGAAAAAGGAATGGAATAGCTGATAAGCAGCACAACAAGGTTTCTGATATTATTTACGATGAAAATGGCAGTCATTATGCAACACTACTGTCTGTATTTACACTTACCATTCCTACACAGGTATAAACACAGTTAGGAGAACCATCAAGCCAGATGTGGCACCTGCATGAGGCTCTACTAACTTCAACTACCCAGACAGCACTTTCCATGGGACAGAGATCAGGGTAATAACTCCATTAGCAGAAAGCAGGTTTTGCAAAAAACTGCTTATCATTAGAAATAAACCTTTCCATCATCAAAATAAATCAATCCATTCTATTGCCAGTTGATATAAATAACAGAGACATTATCGTGAAAAATTATAGTAAAATAATGTAAGTAGAAGCCATGATTCCTGAATATGTGCTTAAACCATTAAAGATTGCATTTACTATTCTAGAAATTATGAGAACATTCTTATGAATTGTTTAAATAACAAGACAAAACTGCTACCATGATCTGTAAGGTATTTTTACATAAAGTTTAATTCCTGATTTTCTTAAAATGCTTTCTTGCCAACAAAATACTTTATCTACAGCCTACATTTTTCCTTAATTCTATTAAACATTTTAGAGGCCACTGCAACAAGGATCACAAATTACTCAGCTTTCTAAAAGACAATGAGAAATCTGAAGTCACTTCTTCTTTTCAGAGAAAAAAAAAAAGTCCTTTTATGTTAGGATTTTGTTGTGCTACGGAAAAGTTTTACTGTTCAATGAAGTCACATCAAAGTGATTTTTCTACAAAATTATCAGATTTTGCATAAATTATTATGCCATTAAAATTACTGCCATTGTTCTTTAAAATAAAATGGACAAAAAAATCTGTACCAGCATTAGATCTTCTAATTCTGTAATCCCCGAAAGTGTACTCAAACAGGAATTTCTGAGTTTGGAACAGAAGAGGTTTGGGGAAAAACAACCTTTTCAATTTCAACTGACTAATACATTGTCCACATACTGTGTAATAAAGAAACCTGTTTTCCAGTCAAGAACAAGAAGAATTCCTCAGGAAACCTTTACTGCTATTTATAATTTCTACTAGAAATGCTCAGCACATTTATGTACTTTATATATTTAGAAGTTTTATTACTTTGCTTAAAAATCCCTAGTATGCTATTGATGACCTCAGAGAATCCAATGACTTAATACACCCAGAGCACTGACATTTATGTGGCCGGATAATTCCTCCTTATTGACTTCTTTTTGTCATCCAGCATACAGTATGCCATACTTCTATGCAATGTTCATCCTGTGGGACTCGGATAGCAAACCTTGAGAAGAGATGGTATTGGCATTATTTATCATTAACAAGTACATGTAAAGCTAAGGGACGTCCATGAAATAAAATCACCTATGGAATCTGAACCTGTTAGAGCAGGTCCAGAGAATGGCCACAAAAATGATCAGAGGCTGGAACACCTGTCCTGTCAAGAAAAGCTGAGAGACTTGGGGTTGTTCAGCCTGGAGAAGAGAAGGTTCTGAGGAGACCTTACTGCAGCCTTTCAAAATATAAAAGCGGCTTAGAAGAAATATTCTTTTTCTAAGGCCTGTAGTGATAGGAGAAAGGGCAACACTTTTAAACTGAAAGAGGGTAAGTTCAGACTGTATACGAGTTATTTTTTTCATGATGAGGGTGGTGAGGCACTGGAACAGGTTGCCCAGAGGTGTTGCGGCTGCCTCATCCCTGGCAGTGTTCAAGGCCAAGTTGTATGGGGCTCTAAGCAACCTGGTCTAGTGGAAGGTGACCCTGCCATGCCAGAGAGGCTGGACTAGGTGGTCTTTAAAGGTACCTTCCAGCCCAACAACTGTGGTTCCAAGATTTGATATTTAATCATAATTGTGCTACAGCCAAATAGTTTGTATTCCACATCAGAAATACAAAACCCAAGGTTACTCTTAGACACTCTATCTATTTTCCTCTTTGTCCCATTCTCTTTCGAGAGGTCTGTTTAGAAAGAAACCTTCACGCTTATGCTTTGGATCCCTTCCATTTCTCCTTGAAAGTATCCAGTGTACATGAAGAAAACTCACAGCTTTTCATAAAATCCTCTGCATTAATATCTGCAGCAGGTAGAGCTCACCTGCATTTCTAAAAGCTCTACAGTAAATGCCTTTTATGAATGTATACACTCTGATGAGGACTGCAGTAAGATTCAGATACCTTAATTTCTCATTTTGTGTCACTTTCACATATCTTCCCACCACAACAATGGTCCCCAGACAAAGGTATTTTGGACAACATCCTTTAACCATGGTGTAATCACAGGAAATGAAGTTAAAACTGAAAGCAACAGAGATAAGGATGCCATGTCTTACAGTACTTCTTTTTAAGGATTGTTGTATATCACCAAAGAAGTTTAGGGCAGCGTGCCAAAACCCTTCCTTCCTGTAGTATGATGACAATTGCTTTCACCTAACAGAAGCTAACAAAGTTGTAGCTCTTTTGGATAAGCATACATCTTATTCCCTCTTTGGGAGTGAAAGGCCATTCAATCCATGGAATGTGCTTTAGAAAACAAAAAAACCTCTGGGGGAAACATGGAAAGAAAAAAAAAAAACAAACCAAGTATAGAGAAATGATTATTTTAAGAATGTAATTTTTAAGTCTTCAGAAAATGTTGTACAAAAGTTGGACACTCAAATAGTTGAGAAGCAATGACAATGGATTTATGGTAGCCACTTTCTCTGAACAGGTGTACTCAAGGTCAAATTTCATTATATATTGATTTTATAGTTTCTTCAAACAGTGATTTAGTAGATTAATTGTTTGGACTATCTCTGGAACCAAAGGTTTAAATCAATATTCATGAAATGAGGTTAGAGATATTGGCTTCATCATAAGTAAATAATGTTGCTGCTCTAAGCAATTTGACATAATTAGTGTTTTTTGCTTAAAAGTAGCCTGTAAAATAAACAGGATGAGATTTTACAAAATTATCCTTTTATCTCTGGGATGTTTGGTTTACATGGCTGAAAGTTAATTTTACAAAAAGTATTTTAGAGAGCACCATTTAAGGCACTGATGCTGACAGCTCAGTACTGTAACACATTTGTTATAGCTAAAATGCATGTAAAAGATATAAAATACAAATTATCATGGAAGCATTTCAACTAAACCACTGCTAGTGTTCTGATAATCTAAAATTATCTAGAGACAGATTTCAAATTCCCATTGCCATATTTCTATTCTTACTGTCTCATAAACCTACCAATACAGTAAATTTTGGAATATGTATAGTTCTTCAAGACAGAAAATTATTTTAAAAAAAGAAAAAAAGCAATAGAAGCTTTAAAATTTTAAGATTACACTGAGTGTGGACTTTGTAAAAATCAGACATTTAGGTACTATTTTATACTCAAATGTATTGCTTCTCATAAATGTTTGCGTCTTCTATTTTTTATCAACACAGAGAAATTCTGAAGTCTTCAATACTTTCTGGTATAGTTACCAATTGTTTATTTACAGGTTTTATTCATAGTTACTTGCTTCTAATATTTCTTTGAATTAATAATTCAAATATCAAACCTGCCAGGATTTACACTGTCTAGAGATGCAGCAATTTTTAACAGCATTCTGAATTCACAAAGACAAATCTATATTAGCTGTTGTTACCACTTCTTGCTTTCATAAAAGTGATCTAGAGGAAGCACTGTTGACACTTTAAGAACTATATTTACAATTACTTACAGATTTTTCTGATATGCAAATTTTATGATGTTGACTGAACGCATCATTCACACTGGTACCACCAAGAACCTGAAAATCTCAAGATATGTCCAAACCAGATACTTTTAGATTGCATCAAATTTACATTCAAAATATAAAATTCAACTACTCAGTAAAAGCATCTTGGTATTTGGTGTCACTGAGCACCACTACAGAAACACTACAGTCTGTACTGCCCATAATTAAACTCTGGCTAAGCATGAGTTTCTCTGACAATGCTTTAAACAAAGTGTTAGATCAGAACTAACCTAAAGACTCATTTTATCTTGAGTGCTAATATTTTCCACATGTTCTTTAAAACACAGAAAACCATCCTTGCAATGATCTCCTTTTCTGTCAGCAAAACAGGAATGCCTGATGCAAATGAGATGCTGGGCCAATAAAGATTTCAGTTGTCCAACACGTGGCTGACTTAAATGGACGTATTTCGCCCCTTTCCTGGCACCATGGCAACACTATCTGGCTAGACACAGCTTTAATCATTCTTTGTTTAATTAGGTAGAAGATTTCCAGCAGGATCAAAGAGTAACCACCAGGTTCTGCAAAACAGCAGTTCCCAAAATCATGTCTCACACTGGATAAGTACTAGACAGGTTAATAACTGATCATGTCTCTGTTTCTCATTGCAGCACCCAATGCCTTTTGAAGACTCTTGATAAGGTGTTTATATAACATAAATGAGAGAGGTTTTACATATATGGACAATACTTAGCAAAGAATCTATGGTACAAAGTTACACTACTGGGAAAAAAATACAAGCAGTGTAACTCTTATGCCTATTCCTCAGTTGTCTCTCCCTAACTACTACCTTACACACATCAAAAGCTTTTCTTTACCTTCAGTGTGCAATAAAACCATTTGTGTATCACTAATGTGCCCTTGCTAATCACTTCCTACTCTGCACTGGCAGGTCAGCTCCTGCTCAACAGACTAGCTTTTTCCAGTGACCATCAGTTTGTTCCTCTCACGCAAGACAGTAGCTTTTTTTTTATGCCACCCTTTTGTGGGTATTTATTACTACATGCCTTTATTTCTGGATGCCTTCCTCAACACTCTGAAGAATGGTACACCTCACTGCTCCACACTCATTGATGCTGTTGGTGTTAACTGGAGTGCTGCCCTGAAGATGCAATTTTAAATATAATTTTAACATAAGACAACTATGGACCAAAAACTCTACCTTTCTGCAACCAAGAAATCCCTCTTGGTAGATCACAGCAAATGCATATTGCCTCCACGAGCAGTTGTGCAACTTCTGGTTAGAGAAAGAAGGGAACAACCTAGCTACCAAGACTGCCTCTATTTGAACCAAAGAGCCTGCATGGAAAAGCTATTATTATGATGCTCTCCTCTAGGCTCCTGTGAACCCTGTCCTATTTCACATTATTCTTCACCAGTTGCCCTTAAGGGCATAAACTTGATAGTTTGCTATCTCTATAGCCCCTGCTAGGTATGGTCCATGCACACTGCGAGACGTACACACTGTTTCCTGGAGGCTGCCCACCGCTCCAGGGCAACTGTAGGTGTAATACTGACTCCTCGGTACTCTAGCTACAACGCAAAATAAGTCAATTAACTGCTCTTTGTGGAAAGAGCTGGAGAACAAAAAGCCACTCCTGGCTACTACAGAACAGGGCTGCTGCAAATTGGCTGATTCCAAGGCAAAAATACTGCTGAATCAGCTGGCATTTAGGTAATGAATTATACAAATATGTAATAATAAAAGAGTAAATAACATGCTGTGACTGAAAAAAAAAAATTAGATCATCTCATTTAGAAGTTATTGCTTCAGGCAAAGAATATACTTTTCAGTTGGTGAATATTGCAATTCATATCCTTATTGTATCCTTAACCCTCACCAGGAAAGAGTCAAATGATTATTTCCCTCCATTAGACCTTGCAGCCCCAAGTCTTTCTCTATCCCAGTTTTATTCTTGTCCCATGGTCAGACACCATTCTGCACTTTCACCTTCCATCTGAGGTACTTACTCACAAGCTCCTCCCACCCAACTCTTTACCCTTTATTTACTTGAGTAAGGAAGAGTTTCCTCTTGCACACAAGTAAGTGAGAGTAAGAGGAAGAAACAGTGGGAACACAGAAAACTCACCTCCCTGTTTCCATTCTCAGATTCAGGACCAATCAAATTAGCAACTCCAGGAATGAGTTCTGCTAATTTCTAAGTACAAGAGCATGTCTTGGTGTTTTTACCAAGAAGATTTAACAATCTTCAGCTGGCAGAATTCAACCAGTATCTACTGAGCACTTGTAAACCACTTGTTTTTTTTCAGAATCATACCTCTTGGCCAAAAGAACAGCAGATTTTTAGAGGCACAGCAAAACGTACAGCCCAGATAAAGACGACAGCACAGAAACATCTCAAGTGTTCCAACACAACGTCAGTGTGTTCTTTGAAAAGGAATTATCTCTAAGCTATCAATCACTAACACTTAGACTAAGCATTTCTTACTAAAAGAAATATCTATCACTTGAACAACACATTATTTCCTGACTGCGTTCTCAGAAAAAAATACATGGATTTATTTTCCTCCTCCCACAGCCCCAAACTACTTGAGGCAAAAACCCGGCATGGAAAATCTCATCCAAAAGGTTACCCACTTACTGAAGTTACAGTAAAGTTATGGCAGAAGTTGTGAACGAATGACAGCAGCAAAGTGCAAAACAGTTTCAACAATACACACCCACACACCCTTCGGACCATAACTTTTAGGAAATCCAAATCATGTTTACCTATTTTCTTACACTTCCTTCCTTCACAAGGTGCCAAAAAATGTAGACGGTTGTCCTACACCATCCAGATTTACATATACACTTGATTTTACACATTGTGAATAAGCCTAATCAAATTAATACCATGTAATGTTTTTCAGAATCATGTGCAGAACTGAACAGAACAACAGGCACTCACTGTCACTGATTCTTCTGTGGTGACAGATATGTCCTGTATGGTGATTTCAAAACTTCCATCACTACATTGATATTATGACTGTCTGTTTCTGAATCACTTTCTTCCTGCTTTTTATGTGTGCCACCTGTTTCAGTAAATCCCTTACCACTTTCCTCAACAAACCAATTTTTCTGTTTCCACAGGCTACATCTATACCAATAAACATGGACTGAAAATGTTTCAAGTCTGAAATCTGGTCATCTGTGCTGTTAAAATGTCAGAACTGACCCTGGCCATGATAAACAGATCTCTCACAGAGAAAATTCCTGAGAATAGCTAAGGACTTAGAACAGAGGCTATTCCCCATTAGCAATGTGAACGCAGCCACCCTGTCTTGCAGAATATGAGGATTCAATAATACGGACATTGGGCATTTCATGCCAGACAACTGTCCTGGGCACTTTTATTTTAGCAGTACAGGCACTGCCACAGTCTATGCAAGAATTTAACTTGGAAACTGTTCCGGGTTCAGCTATAGCAGTAATTTTTCTCCTTAGTAGCTGGTGCAGTGCTGTGTTTTTGAGTTTAGCCTGAGAACACTGATAACACTTATGTTCTGAGTTGTTGCTAAGTAATGCTTACTCCGATCAAGGACTTTTCAGTCTCATGCTCTGCAGTGAGGAGGGGCACAAGAAGCCAGAGGGGAACAGAGACAGGACACCTGACCCAAATGGGTATTCCACACCACAGCATATCATGCCCATATATAAACTGGAAAGAGTTAACTGGAAGGGGCAGATCCCTGCTTGGGTCAGGCTGGGTGTTGTTTGGGGGTTGTTGAGCAATTGTATTGTGCATCACTTGTGCTTATTGGTTATTATTTTCCTTTATCCCTTCTAGTTTTATATTCTCTCCCTTTATTATTTCCCTTACCACTATTATTATTGGTGGTAGCAGCAGTGGTTTGTGTTATACCTTAGTTACTGGACTGTTCTTATCTCAACTCGTAGGAGTTACATTCTTTCAATTCTCCTCCCCATCTCTCCAGGAGCTGACAAGAGGAAGTGGGGGAGTGAGTGAACTGCTGCGTGGTTCTGAGTTACTGGCCGGGCTTAAACCACGACAGAAGCGTATTCAGTTTCACTGCCAACTGTGAGCTATTGTCAACAAGAAGCATATACACATGCTACAATTTTGATACAATTCTATTTCTATTTACTTAAATAATTAAATCTATTTCTCCCAATTCCGTTTAAAATATATTGAGAAAAAGATAGGTATTCACAGTAAACTACCAGAACAGTTGGCAGCAAACCACTGTGACTTAAAAAATAAAGCAAGCCTATTGGGCTGCTTTCCTTACAACAACTTCTTAGCACAAAATAGTAATGTTTCTCTTTCTCACTCTGTAGACTAACTAGTTACTATAAACATAAAGGCCCTTGTATACACTAAATTACCAGACAATACAGGTTTCATTTTTAGCTAAATTAGAATTAAAGCATTTCATAATCAACTTCTCATTGAAATCTCTCTATATAATCTTCCAGCATGATTGCTTCTATATTGTAAAAATAACTGTATTAGTAAAAGACGAACACTAACCTTCTCAATATTTATTTGGTGTTTTCTTAACCTTTCCAAATCTGTTGGAATTGCCACTTTAATGAATTTCTGAATGGCAGGTTCAATTCGACGAAGTTTAACTTTTTCATCATCTTCAGACATCCTAAAAGCAGCTCTCAAGTCAACACTTGCTCAGTGTACTTTCACCAGGGTAGAAAGCCCTAAAAAAATACATTAATTACAGGATTACAAAAATGTAGTATTTTAGCATATTTTTTAAAAAGAAAGCCAAATAAGGTAAATCAGTCTTTGCAGTATTAACTACTTAAAATCTGGACACTGTATTTGCATTTAAATGTATTATTTCCATTCATTTGCAGGCTTTGGGGATCATTTTCATAGATGAAACTTTACATCAACAAAAAAAAGCTAATAAATTAAGGCAGACACAAATATGCTTTGCAGCATAATGATAGATGGAAGCCTTTGGAAAAAACTTCAAATTAATTATTTTTCTTGCTTCAATCTATGGTGTGAAAGCACAGGGGAAAGTGTTCAAGTTTTTCTGAGACATGTGATTCCTGCAGGCAGAAAGAATTTGAAGGCAGACACCAGCTGATTGGCACTAGGTCTCTGAACCCCTCAAAGTTCAGTCACAGCCCTCACCTGTAGGCTGGAAGGAGGATATGCACAAATCTCACTTACCTTCAAAGGATCCAAGGGGTAAGCATGTTCCATCAGGCCAGTAAGAATGCTGAAAGCACTTCTGGCAAAGGGAATCTTTGTTTCTAGAGGAAAACAGGAAAACAATTCCAGATTACTCACCTTTCCCCACACAACTGCAAATAAAACAACATTGTATTTTTTCTGAAGAACAGAATGCTAATAGAAGAGTCTTCTCCTTTATCAATCCCACCCAGCAAAAAGACTGAAAATTGTGGAAAACTGAGTATTTAGTGAGAGTAGACCAAGTTAGGGGAAGTCAATCTTTAGGGTTTCACTGACACACCTTTTACTTTTTGAAAGCATCATTTCATCAACTGACTTTCCAGCCACTGCTAAATCATCCCTGCTTCAAAATATAATGACATACTATCAAGCAGTCTTACAAATCCCATTCTAACCAAAAGCATTTAATATTAATAGTTCTTTTTTCAGACCTTCAAGCAAACATGCAGTGGGTAGCCTTGCATTTTTCACTATGTAAAAAGAACTTTAATCCCTTTGTATTGATTTGCTCTTTCCACCAGTCTAAAAACAGTAGCTTACATGCAAGATGATAAAAAAATACATTGGTTCTTCTATTACACCTTGGTCACTACAGTCCCTAACACTTTTGAAAGAGCCACTTGTATCTCAAAATTGAACCTCATTCTCAGCCTAGAACAGACTCTTTTTGCTATGAGCAAAAGATAAAAAGCAGCATACTCCAAACTGCAGTACCTCCTCTTAGAACACACATTTCATCTCCTGACAGCTTATACACTAATCCACTAGTTTATGAGCTAGAATTAATCAAAAAATGGTTCCTTAAAGATACTGAGTAGCCATGTCTTGCTCTTCTTTAACACTGAATCACCTTGAACAAGCAATGACACAAATTCTTTAAACTTACCGCACATGAACTCACAGAAACCCACAGCTCATTCTGTCTTTGAACAAATACAGCAGAGATTAAGCTAAGTCTTAAGTTTGTCACAAATCTTTAATGACACCTAGAGATTGATAAGTCAAAAGTGGCAGTTCAGATGACACATAAACTGGACCACAGTGGAAGCAGAGTTAATATGACCAACAGCCATGTCTTGAGTAGGTGATCTGAGTAAACAACAGTTTTAAATTCAAAGATTTGGTTGCATGCAGGGCTCTGGATAGTCATTTTCTTCTACTGAAAAATTCCCAGACAGTAAACTACCTTTCATGACAATGTCTACAAACCTCTTTAAGGCACTACTGCTTAAAATTCACTGCACAGTAAGTGTGAGAAACTAAGAAAAAAATACAAAAACTCCTCATATTCTCATCAGGTCTCCTGCTTCATGTTCTCTCAAACAGTACAGTAGCTTTTGTAACAAAAATTCTAAGCCATATATTACCAGTAAGAAAATATGCAAGGTCTTACTTTTTTTAAGTTCATATAATATGTAAATAAAATTAACATCACAAGTTTTTGTCACCATATGTTCATTCCAGATACAATTTCAAGGAAATCTAAGGTTTCTTGAATACTTTATTTGGTTTGTGTTTTCCTAAGCATAACTTCAATTTCTAGAGCTATAATGCCTGGGTTTTGAGTAATCACAGAATAACATGACAGTTTCAGTTGAGAGTGATTTTCACAGGCCATCCAGTACCAGCTGCATTCGATGTGGTTGCACAGGCCCTTGTCCAGTCAAGTTCCAACACCTCCATGGATGCGTGCTCCACACACTCACTAGACCCTTCCTTCTTTGTTTGACTATTCTCCAGGTTAAGAACAAACCCAAATCAAAACCAAAAATACCTTCCTTGTAGCTAAACCACCATGTGTCCACTGCCTCTCATCCCATTGTCACGCACCCCCAAGAGAAGCCTGGCTCTATACCTTCTCCCCCCACAGCAGTAAGATGTCACCTTCCATCACCTTAAAGCTGAACAAACCACCTCTGTTTCTCCTTGAATATCATGTATTCCAGCCCCCTAACTGCCTTGCCAGTCTCACAGGTGCCAAATGGAAGGGAAAAGTCACTTTGTCAACCTACTGTCCCTCAGCCACATTTGCAAATGCATAAAACATAATGCAGTTGTCCTTCTCTGCAACAACACAGTCAGGCTCATATTCAACATGTGGTCCACTACAACACACAGGTCCTTTTCTACACAGCTGCTCTCCATCAAGTCTTCCCACAGCCTGTCCCAGTCATCAGGCAATTCCATCCCAGCTGCAGCAGTTTCTTGTTGCCTTTGCTGGAATTTATGAAGTTCCTATCAGCTCATTTCTCCATGTTGTCAAGATGCCTCTGAGTAGCAGCCCTGTCCAGACTATTAAATACTCTCCTCAAGTAAGTGAAAAAAAAAACCTGTTCTCAGCTTTAGCTTAAGAAGATGTCCTGCATTCAGCTCTCAGTTATTTTTCTCCTTCCTAGTAGCTGCTGCAGTGCTGTGTTTTGGCTTTAGTCTGAGAACAATACTGATAACACACCAATGTTTTAGCTGTTGCTCAGTAGCACTTAGCCTGATCAAGGACTTCTCAGTCTCATGCTCTGCCAGTGAGGAGCGGCATGGGAGGACGGGAAGAAGCAGAGACAGGACACCTGACCCAAACTAGCCAAAGGGATATTTCATACCACAGCACGTCATGCTCAGTATATAAACTGGTGGGTGTCACCCGGAAGGCTCAGTTCGGTGCTCAGGTCGGGCTGGATATCGGTCAGCAGAGGGTGAGCAATTGCATTGTGCATCACTTTTGTTTGCTGTTTTCTTTCCCCTTCCCTTTTTAGTTTTGTATTCTCTCCCCTTGTTATTTCCCTTATCATTATTATTATTATTGGTGGTAGCAGTAGAAGTTTTGTGTTATACCTTAGTTACTGGACCGCTCTTATCTCAACCCGTGGGAGTTACATTCTTTCGTCCCTCCAGGAGCAAGGGGAGGAAAAAGGTGGGGTGAGCTAGCAGCTGCGTGATTCTGAGTTACCATCTGGGCTTAAACCACAACAGTGGGGCATGAAGGGTTGAGATAACGACAGATCTGACCAGAGTGTGTCTAATCATATTTGTGACAAGCATTCGTTGTTTCAGATTAACAATCACTCATCACAATGTTGACTTATTTGCTGTCATAGTTGTTGCACTTGATCTCGGAGTTTCAGCATGTAGTACCTTACTTACAGCCAGTACTTGCTGTTTTAGTGTTTATCAGTTTTGGGGCCTGAACTAAGGTCATTGTTTCACTGTACTTTATGATAATGGCTTGTGATACAATAGAATTATTGATCATGAAACTGATCTGGTATGCATTCTCAGCATGGCCATCACCTCTATACTTTGGGAGGCATGTAATGGAATTAATAATTACACTTCTTTTTTCCCCCCCACAGGGGGCCAACCTACGAAGGAGATATTCTCTCGCACCTCCCACTCCCCCACTAGGCTATTTACAATGGCATTTGAGAATTTTAAAGGTTTTGGATGTCTTCTGAGTACCCTTGAAACCTGCCTGCTGCTTGTGCTGGGGATCAGCTTGTTGCTGCGTATGTTTTACCCATGGCCACGCCACCCTGAAAGCACTCGATCTTGTCCAATCTCAGAAGCTAAGCAGGGTCAGGCTCAGGTCTTGTCTAAGGTTAAACAGCTATCTAAGAATACCACCAAGAGATCTTCCCCGAGACTGGACAGTCATGAGTGGCAGGGTGTGTGGTATTGTATGGGCAAGCACTTAAGCCAGTTGGCCCCTCCTGTGCATTGGAACTTCACTGCTGAACAACTGCAAAATCCAGAAAAATTAGTAGAACACTTAAACGAGGTGTGCTGTCGTCCTGGCAATACCAGAGAGGAACAAATCACTGCAACGTGCTGGGGCTTGGCCTATGCCTACAGAGCCCTGCTCTGTAAGGAGCAGGAAAGAGATGTCTCTGGATCTGATGGCAAAGCAACAGACAACACGACTGCTCCATCCCCAGAAATCACTCCAACCCCACCGAAAGACACTGCGGCGACTGCAACCCCACCGAAAGACACTGCAGCCACTCCAACGCCAGCAGAAGGCACTGCAGCTGAACCAAAGGACCAATCCGTGCTAGCATCAGTTGCCTCTATAATCAGGAGGAGATGCAAAAAAAAAGCAACTCGTGTAGTGAGGGAAGATGAAGACTTAATGCCATTACTAGAGGGGGCAACATCTGAACAAGAGGAAGACGAGGAAGACGAGGAAGACGAGGAAGACGAGGAAGATGAGGAAGACGAGGAGGACGAGGAGGACGAGACTTCTCAATTCCTGTCACTGACTGAGTTGCGGAATATGCGAAAAGATTTCACCCGTCTTCCAGGTGAGCACATTATCACCTGGTTGCTCCGGTGCTGGGACAAGGGGGCCGACATTTACAAACTAGAAGGTCTGCAAGCCAAAATGCTGGGATCACTTGCTAGGGAAGGGGGAATTGACAGAGCAATTGCAAAAGAGAAACGAGTCCTCAGCCTTTGGAAGCGGCTCTTGGCAGCTGTGAAGGAAAGGTATCCCTATGAAGACGATGTTCTACATCAGCCAGGCAAGTGGGCCACCATTGAGAAAGGCCTCCAGTACCTGAGGGAATTAGCCATTCTAGAGGTGATCTATCATAGGCTGGATGCCAGGAATGCATCCATAGATCCAGATGAAGTCAAATGTACACAACCCATGTGGCGGAAATTTACACGGAGTGCACCACTATCATATGCCATCTCATTGGCACTGGTCTACTGGAGGGATGAAGAGGCACCAACAGTGGATGAAGTGTGTTGTCAACTAGGTAACTAAAAAAGTTAGACGAAACCATTTATAGTTAGCTGTCCTTGACTATATTCAGTGTGCAAGGTACTTTGGAAAAACAAAGAAATTGTGGCATTGTGGAAAAAACAAAGAAATCGGTCTTTTTAAATGCTGATGGTACAGGCCTGTTAGAGGTTATCTTCTAAGTAAAATACTATCAACTTAATACTCAAAATTCATGCACCAAAATTCAATTATATTTCAGTGACAGAAGTAACACTCATCCAGAAGAGATGAAGATGCAGATGCAGAATAATTTCCTGTCAACTGTGTTATTAAAAACAGAAGACCTATCCAAAGCATACTTTAGCAGCATTACCAAAGTATTAGATAGATAGTTATAAAAATTATCTATCTCTCCCTTCCTAATTATTTATGCCTTACGGAGACTGGCCCCAAACTGAAACTGTAATTGTGAAGTAAAATTAGCATATAAGAATGCCACTAACCTGACATTTGCACTTGATATGAAAATAACCTGATTCTTACTACCCTTATCCAGTTTGTTCACCCCGTGTCCTTGAAATTATTTAAATGTATTTTCCATAAAGGATTAGTCCACATGCTCTCGTTAGTAAGCAACAGAGCAAAATAATATGAGGAGTTCCACTATTTGGACCTTTGCTTTAACAAATAAATGGGGACGTAAAGCAAACAAAATTCTTCAAAAACAAATCACATCCTCTTTCAGTTTTTGAGGTCCAACCAGCCTGTACTATCTTATTTCATTGTTTCAAATATCAAATAATTCTAAGGTTTAAACGAATCTTAGGGCATCCAATTCAAAATGGTGAACTGTGAGTTTAATTTAATTCAGACACTAACACAAAGTCTCCACTTACTACGTAGTGGTGAGAAGAAAGCACATAGTCACGTAGTTGTAGTCCATCAAAATTTAAATTGTAGCTTGTTATAAATTTCAGTAAATGCTGTTAATGCACATCAAAGGTAATACTCATGAACGCTGGTTAAACTGCTGAGTATCCTCCATTCAAATAAGGTGGGAAAAATGAAAAATAAACCTGAAGAGTTGTGCTTGCCCAGGGAAACACGATGCAACATGTATTTTTTATTTCAATTCACTTACAACACTTTAGACAAGCACTAACACTAGAAAAAGTACTTCCAACATAGATGCCTTGTTTTTAACGGCTGTAAGGCAAAAAAGCTTTTTCCTTTTCTCCTTGTAAATAAAATCAGAATATGGGTGCTAGAATGTAGGCTTAGAATAGGTTTCTCACTAACATATTGTGAAACACTTCTTAGAGTAGTACTGGCCCGAAAATTGCAGTGACTGAATATTTACTATTGCTCACTTGGCCGAGGTCTGTAGTTAGTGAGGAGCATGCTCCTGTGGCAGGCTACAGCCAAACTGTGCTTTGGGTCTGAATTACTCTTTCTCCTTTAGCTGTAAGAGGAACCAAAGGAAAACAGTTTTGTTAGGCTGAAATAAGGTGCTGTCACCAGCCCTAGTGTGTATGCAAAGTGACATGAAACTACTCAGTAGGATGAAAAACTGCACATCGGGGCTCAGAAACAGAATTAGCAGCTGTAGGTAGCAGGCTGTGGCTCCTAGCAGATCTGTGTGCTGGGGATCACCCAGCAAGACAAAGTTGATCCAGCCAAGGCAGGAGCACACAACTGCACTTTGAGAAACCAGAGCATACGACAGGCATTTTGTGTTGGTATTATACGTTTAAACCAGCTGCAGGAGGGCAGAAAATACCTAATGACTGACACATCAACATTGTCTGAACAAACCTGAACCGGTGGAATGAGTATGTAGCAGACTGACACCTGCAATCAAGTGGCTGCAACACAGTTCAACCCGCAATCAGAGCCCTAATAGCAATTCTTCTATATTACTGAATTATGCCTCTGGTCTCACTCCAGCAACGAGAAGGTTATGGAGGCCTGCCCTTCCACTGTCTCTCCCCTGAAAAGCAAAGGGTGTGTGCACAGAGTAGACACATAAGAATAATAAAGGTTTTAAGTCTTATATCAAGATTTCAAGTGGACTGTACTAGTTTCTAGTTTCTTTTTCCTGACTTACAATTTAAAAAGCTTGGGGAATGCTGGGCTAAACAACTCCTCACACTGTGCTTTTACTAAGGAGAAAGAATAACCCAAGCCGGTGTGTCAGGTTCTGGTTCGGGTCAGCCCTCCGGTGGCACCTCAGCCTGGGCCTCCCCATGATCAGACCGACGCCCCCAGCCGCTCTCGGGGGCACCCACACGGCCGGGACAGCACCAGCCACCGCGCCGAGCTCACCGGCCCCGGGCGCCCAGGCGCCGGGCGGGAGAGAAGCCACCCTCCCCAAGCAGGACCGGGGAGCGGAGCGACCCCACCACCACCACCACCACCACCGCGCCAGCCAGCCCTCGGCCGAGGGACGCGGGCCTGTCAGCGCCATGAGGACCCTGCCGCGGCCCGCAAGGCCGAGGTGAGCCGGCGGCGGCCCCGCCGCGGCCCTTGCTGAGAGGCCGGAGCCCGGGACAAGGAACCGGCGCTCCGCTCGCCGCCACGGGCCGCGCTGTGGGTTCCTACCGGCGGTCACGTCCACAGTAACAAAGTCCAGGGTACGCCGGTCGCCCGCCAGGCCCGGGCGCCCCTCTCGCCTCCCCGACGGGAGAAGCGAAAGCGAAATCAGCCGGGCGGCCACCGGTGGCGGCCCGGCAGCCACCAAGCCCTGCTGCCCGCCCTGCCAGTTGCCCGCTCCCTCCGTTCCCTGCTGCTCCAGTCCCCGCCCGCGTGTGCTCCCGTCCCCCGCGACCGCCCGCGGCCTCTCACCGTGTGGCGGCAGCGGCCGGGACGACGACCGCGGGACGCTGTGCGGTAGCCGGCGAGCAGGGCTTCCCCTCAGCGGGAAGCGGCCCAACCCCCGCCCGCCGCACACAGCCGCCGCGCTCGGGGCGGTTTGACTCATGTTTATTTCCCTCCGTGACTCTCGGTGAGGGGCGGGAAGGGGAGGAGGGAGAGGAAGAGAAGAAGAGGCTGACTTGGGCAGGGGGGGAGTACCTGGTGTCTGGGATAAGGGGTCTTCGGGGGTGAAAAGTTAGATTTCGTCTTCTAAAGGAGGGTCAAATGTTCCCACCATCATTTAAAGAACTTCTGTTAAGGTCCTCCCTGCTACCAACATTTTGCTTGCCTTGACACATAATGTAGGCAATACCAAATTGTTAGGTGAGGCCCTGGGGATAAAGGGCATCGATGTGTAAAGGACAAACACTGACCAGCCTGTGGCAGTGAGGCTTCTTTTTCCCCTCTGTAACCTTCACTGTTTCTAACAGCAAGGTCCTGCACCTGAGCTCTGGGGCCCCCAACATAAGAAGGACATGGACCTGCTTGAGCAAGTCCAGAGGAGGCCACGAAGATGATCAGAGGGGCTGGAGCACCTCTCCTATGAAAACAGGCAGAGAGAGTTGGGCTTGTTCAGCCTGGAGAAGAGAAGGCTCTGGGGTGACCTTATGGCAGGCTTCCAGTACCTAGAGGGGGCCTACAGGAAATCTGTAAAGGGACCTTTTACAAAGACATATAGCAATGGGATAAGGGGGAATGTATTTAAGCTGAAAGAGGGTAGAATTTAGATTCTTGGAATACAGAATGACAGAGCCATTAGGTTTGGGAGGAACCTCTGCTATCGTGTTTAATAAAATTTATACTTTAAACCAAAATTGGCTAGAATATTGATAACACTCTGGTGATCAGCTAGTCCAGCCCCCCTGCACTATCTGCATAGCTCACAGTAAGTGATTCACTGACAGTTCTGAAAAGAAGGAATTGTAACTGAAGATGTGTCAGAAGTTTGTTTTTTGGATGGTGTTATTCTTGGCCTAGAAGTGACCTAGACAAAAATACTGAATCATTACTTTGCTGTTGTAAATAAAGATAAGGACAGATCACTTAAATAAACTCCTTTGAATTGCTTTGTAAGATCTCTCTTGTAAAAGTACTCCTCTGAAGACAGTCAAAGTGGAGGTTGTACATTCAAGATAAAGCCTCAAAGCCACACCTGGAGTCTGAGGGAGGATGACTGCCATGAGGCAGGGCTAAAGAGGACCTGGACATTATGGTACATTTTCAGCTGCACATGAGCTTTCAGAACAAAGCTTTTGCTAGGCATATGCTATAGCAAAACCAGAAGAACATCAAATACAACTGGAATGGGCACTACTCTTGTTTATAGAACTAATAAAACCATTATCAAAATAATGCATTCAATGTTTGGGCACTTACACTTCAACAGGATGTTAAATATTGGGAAGAGTCCAGAAGAAAGTTATGAAAGGTGTGGAAAACGGGTGTTAATGTGAGATATTTAAAAAGCACAATCCAATGCAGGTGGAGAGGTATGTTTGCCATAAGCATACTAGTACTTGTCTGGGTTAGAGATACTTGAGGAGTAGAGGCAGTGTTGGCTTTCAGAAAACTACAAAAGAAGCAAAACTAAATATATATACATATATATAAATATATATTAGAAATATGGCATATCTTAATTGGCTGTAGGATTAAATTGTCTATGAATCTGTTTTGAAACAGTACAGAATTTTCAGTTTATGAAACTGAGATTTTTTTTTGAGGTATACTGTAGCTCAAGCATACACAGCTGCAATTTTGATGCAGAATGCATTGGCAGAGGTTCTGTGTGGTCTGATATGGAGGTGGTACCATTATGATATTATACTCAGTCTTTCTTTTCCTTAAACTTGATGACTTCAGAAGAAGACCAAGAAGTCTACATACACAGCAGCAAAAGAAGGAATAGGATCCCAAGGATATTCCCAAAAAGAAAGGGTTGGAGAGTTTATCTGAGTTCTAGCAGTCAATATCTGAAGAGCTCCTGGCACATTTCATTGTGAACACAACGTTCATGCCTGACTGTCCAGTTCTACTACCACTGCTAATGTGGTCTCCCAGACAACCCAGCAGTGACTTCAGAGAAGTCCAAATTTCCTCAAGGAAAAAATGACAATGCAAAATGCCATGTCACTCATGTAACAATCATCAAAGGAACAAGAGTTCCACCTTCAGGTCTGGGAAAATACTACCTCTGATGGCAAAAGATATCTCAGAAAAAAAAAATAAAAATTAATGCGTAGATGGAGTTTGACTTCCTGATTACAGACAGACTCAGACTTGTATTGCACATGTGTGATCAGTTTTGAGTGGTCTGTTATAGATCTGACCACTGTGTGTATTTCTGTACCTTTATCAGAGAAACTGTTTTGTATCACCAATAAATAATGTAGAAGAAAATCATGGGGAGTCCTAGAAAGGCAGAGAAATGTTGTACATCGACTAAGGAAGAGTTTGCAGCAGTTTCTTTTTCCACTCATAGTTTTCAGATAAATGGATTCAAGACCAGGATCCAGATGTGCCATTCACTGAACATGCACAGCTCTCTCCTCAGCAATCTTTCCTTATACACGACTCTCAAATAACTCATGCTGGGGTTGGTATTTCAGTGAGGGCTGTTCAATAAACACAGAACTTCCCAGATACTTTACGTTCCAAAGATATATCTTTTTCCCACTAGAGCATTTACAAATTCTATTGCCTTTTTCAATGCATTATTATTACAGATACACTGATTTCACTGTCAAAAATCTTGTGCTGGCAAGAACCGATAATAAAGTTTCCATTGTGTCATGGAAAACAGCCATCACTCTGTTACAGTGAATATTGCTCTTTCTCAGAGTCTTTCAGAAGCACAAATCTGTTTAAAATGAAATCCCCTTCTAGCATGCATCCCTGACAAAAAAAAAAAATCCAACTCTTTCAGTAACTCTTGAGAGGTATTTTGTGGAATATGTGGCAGCATTTTCTGAAACGGACTTCCTGATGTGAGTAAAATTCTGTGGGTTGGTTTGTGGGAAACTATTTGCTACTGTTAATAAACATTGTGCTGTAGTTTTTTATTGGGTGGACTTCTGATCCAATGCCCTTTTAATGTACCTTGCTGCAAAACCAGCTCAGATTTGGTTGAGGATCATTTCTATAGTACCGCAGAAAGTAAGCCTCCCAAGTGGTAATGAAACAGAAGAGGTTTGTTATACATAAACATATTTGCAGTAGCAGTAACATGGAATAGGGTGTAAAAGGAGGAGAGGAAGCAATTAGAGCAAAGCAGATTAGATTTTAAAATAACACTTCTGCACTGGTTGCACTGGTTATTTGTGTCTTTTCCAGTGTATTCACAAGTCTCACACTGTGACCTCGATGCACGAATGGTTAACAGTAGCTGCCATTGTTCTGCCCCTGCAACAGTGGTGCAGAAAAGGCTATACAGAGAGAATGGTAGATCCAGAAACTATCTACAGCACCTGGTCTGCAGTAGGATTTCCCTACTGACGAGCAGGGTGAAATAAGCATTGCTAGCTGGTGGGAGCTTGTGTTGCCATCGCCTGGGGAAGGTGCTTCTGTAGCACTTTGCCTGGGTAGCCTTAGCTATCCACTGCTGGCATAACTGAATGAGGTAAAACATTAAAACAAATGTTTCTGGGGTTGTGTCCCTACCTGGAAAATTCCCCATAACCAGAACTTCATCAAGATCCATGTTTTTTTTCTCCCAATGTCTTTTCATTCCCACTGGAGCTGAACAGGATTTCTCCCGCTCAGAACTATTGATCAGCTTTCAGTATGTGCTGTAGCAGTGGTGTACCAGATATTTTCAGTTTCATTTGTAAGGTCACCTAAGCAGTTTTACTTTACTTTAGAAGGATGTTGAGCTAGCTCAGTTAAAAGGCTTCTAGTGGCGCTGTCATTTGTCCACATTCGTCTCTAGTTATAGGACTGAAACACATTGGCATCACTTTAATATAAATCCCTCCAAGTTATTCTAACTAAAAAACCACCTGTTTCCATACAGGGCAGTTTTACCAGCTGAAGGAAACTGATCCATCTTTTTGTTTTTTACACAAGGCCTTAGAAATTCTGTATCAAATCTTTGTGTCATTCAAGTCAATGGTAAGATTTCCCTTAAACTTATCAGGGTGAGGATTTTGTTCTTTGTCTGGGTTCCAATGCCTCCTGACACAAGAAAATACAAGCTGTATTCAGGAGGACAAGGAATAGAAGGTGGCAAATCAGCTGAAGAAACATTCATTTATCCAGTTCATCTACCATACTTAACAGTAAATAACCCTTTTGTAAAATCATTCAGCCCTGAAAGAGGGATTCACAATGTCTTTTAATTGCAGACCAAAGGTATAATATTGTCAACTTTCATTCACAGTTAGTTTACATCCACATGTTTTTAAAACCATTTTTAATTTTTCTCAGTTAAGAAGGTGATTGTGGTTCTGCTGCTTCTCTAACATGTACAGATCATGAGCAACTGCCTGTTCAATAAAAACTTAGGATATTTCAGAAACAAAATTTAGAATACTCACACTCATCTGGGGTTCTTTCTCACTGGCTTGATGTTATGACTCTACTTTTCAGATTTCTAGAGTTCTCTTTGCCTTCTCTCTTCCTCTTTATGGGATAACTAGAAAGACACGGTTCAGCTTGCCAGAAAAGCTCCTTGTGCTGAGAGGTGGCGCAAATAGACATGAAGATCTGTATGCTAGCTAGTTTGGGTTATGGAATATTTATTGGATATTGTTTTTCTGCAGATAAAAAGTTTATCAGACTGTCTGATTTAAAATCCATGTCGTACTCCAAGGCTTACACCAAGATCATCAGGAATTTATCTGTCTGTATAATGACCTATTAAGGCTACTTCTGGTTTAAAGGCCATCTAACTTTGGATTGTGCCCAATAGTGGCCACAAGTGCACAGTGAGATTGGAGTAAGACTCAGACAAGCGTATGTGCTAGTTCCTCCTTAATGTCTTCAACTTGTTTTTACACTGGGGGTTTCCTGAACCAGATGTGGTTTGTTTCCTTAGTAACCCCCCTGGGTCTCTCTTTCAGATGCTCACTCAGTCTCCCCTAGGAAGAAGTAAAG